GGATTAGCGGTTTAGGGTTTAGGGGTTTAGCGTTTAGGGGTTACGGTTTAGGGGTTTAGGGCTTTGGTCCATAAACCGTCAGGGTTAAGGGTTTAGGGGTTTAGGGTTTAAGTCCATAAGGGGTCAGGGTTAAGGGGTTTAGGGTTCAAGGGTTTAGGGCTTAGCTCCATAAGGGGATTAAGGGGTTTAGGGTTTAAGTCTATAAGGGGTCAGGGGTTTAGGGGTTTAGGGTTTAGGTCCATAAGGGGTTCGGGTTAAGAGTCAGGGTTCTCAGGAGTTCTTGCACAAAGGATCTCTACAACCTTATACAAACCATACGCTTCTAGGGCTCATGGCCCCTGATAGAAAGGGTTTAGGGTCGTTTAGGGTTTAGGGTTTAGGGCTTAAGCCCTAAACCCTAAACCCTAAACCCTAAACCCTAAAGGTCCAGGGTTTAGGGTTCAGGGCTTAAGGGTCCTGCTTATGACGACACTTTCGGAGCAGCGGTGCTTCTGCCGGAAGAGGCAGGTGTAACTCCTCCACGAGACCTACAACCGAGACAAGAGCCCTTGGGCAACACACGGTTTAGGGTTTAGGGTTTAGGGTTTAGGGAATCTGAATCTTAAAAACCCCACCCCCCCGCAACCCTATAATATGAGGACAAGGAAGCCTTGAAAACCCTAACCTAAAACCTAAACACAAACCCTGGAAACTTGACCCTTACATCCGAATCCCGAAGGCCCTAAAACCTAAACCCTACCTAAAACCTAAACACAAACCCTTGAAGCTGTCAGCCCTCTGTAAATCCTAACCCCTAAGGCCCTAAACCCCTAAACCCTCAACCCTAAAAACCCTAAACCCTAAGCCAACGAGCCCAAGTGTCGTGGACAACGCCCACCATACAGCCGCCGGCGCAGGCGGCGAGAGCAGCAGCCAGTGAGACGCCCGCACCGGCAAAGAACCAAACCAACGCCTCCTCCTTGGTTGGTTTAGGGTTTAGGGTTTAGGGTTTAGGCTTTAGGTTTTAGGTTTTAGGGTTTAGGGTTTAGGGTTTACGGGGGCTTTGGGCTAAAACGTCTTGGGTTTAGGGTTAGGCGTTTAGGGTTGAGTTTAAGGTTTAGGGTTTAGGGTCTAGGTACACAAAAAGCTTATATCGCAGGGTTCAACGGTTCTAAGAGTTCTATACAGGTTCGATAAGGGTTCTACAAAGGTTCAACAGCGTTCGGCAAGGGTGCGAGAAGGTTTCTTAATGTTGTGTAGAGGATTGTACGAATGCAAACATGACGAAACACTTAGGTATTTAGTAGCACAGTCTAGTGTGTGCAGAATAAGATTGCTGTATGTACTTGGACCATAAGCGTGAGGGTTGTAGAGGGTGGCTTTGTGAAAGTGCAATATGGTTTGTAAACTTAAACGTTGAGGTCTGTATATGGTTCATAAGGCATGATCGGGCTATTCCGCAGTTTAAGCATTTAACCTACATGAAGGCCGAAGTACTATACATGTCATTGAGCCTTATAGGGTTTAGGGTTTGGGGTTTAGGGTTACTGCCCGAACACTCAACCAAGCCGTGCTGCGGGCTGAAACTGCTCCCCATCCTGGTTCGTGGCGACCCGTTCCGTGGTGTACCTGCGCTGCGGGGCTGCGGGTTTTGCGTAACGCAGATTGACGGCCCCGACTGCCCACAATCCGAGGAACACCCCTGAGAAAAGGAACCCCTAAACCCTAAACATCCCTAAACGCTGTTCCCCTAAACGCTAAACCCTGAACCCCGAATCCCTAAACCCTTAAACCCAAAAATCCCCAATGACACCCGAAACTCGCGGAAGGCTGTAACCCCGGGGGATTATAAGCCAGTATATGGTTGTGACTCATACGAACATACCCTAAACCCTAAAACCTTATAGCGGCCCTCTGGCCAGATTACCCACAACATTTCAGACCTATGTAAGCACATGGACCCTTAAACCCTTATAGAACCCTCTATAGGGACCCTCAAGGGAATCCTGAGAAGAACCATTAAACTTACTTCCCTAATAAGCCAGGGAAATAAAAGGTTAAACGTTCAGATTACTACAAAAAAAAAAGAACCCAAAAAGTTTAGGGTTTAGGGTTTAGGGTTACTACTGAAAAAAAAAGAACCCAAAAAGTTTAGGTGGAGCCTTAGGGTGCTAACTAGTCTCGGGCTCGGGCAGGCTCAAGGCGGATAACCCTAAACCCTAAATCCTACACCCCAACCCCTGAACACCACACTCCAAACCCTAACCCTGAACCCTGAACCCTAAACCCGCGCCAACAGATACCACATTATAACCCACGAAGACATTACACAGTCCACAGCAATCCGACCAGATCCTATTCAATCCGGGAACCCTAAACCCGAAAGCTCAAAAATCCTCGGGCCGTAAACTCAAAGCCCTATAATCTAAACCTTAAACTGATTGAACTTCCTAAACATCAAACCTTAAACCCAAAGCCCTAAAACCTACACCCTAATTAAACCTCACACCTCAAACCCTAAGCCACTAAAACCAACACCCTACACCTGAAACCCTAAACCCTAAAACCCTAAACCCAAAACCCGCAAACCTAAACTCGTGAACAGACCCGACGGCGGAAGGCTCAAGTCTCAGCCATAGGGGTTCTTTTATGCGGCTCGTCCAAGGATGCCTTTAAGGGTTCCTCCACGGCTTCCGTTTAAGGTTTAGGGTTTATAGCGGCTTATGGTTTTGGGGGTTTAGGAGTTTAGGGTTTAGGGATACCTCAACAGCACATGTGGGGCTTCTAGGATTGACAGCTTTTTAGTTTTTGTTGATGTTTTAGGGTCTTTTTCCGACAGTCCTGAACCCCTTATACCTGAAATTTCGCGGCACACTTATTCCACGACCGGCAAATTCCTTGCCTAAGCCCGAAGCCCTAAACCACAAACCCCTAAAACCCTAAACCACTAAACCCCTATACCCTGGTTAAGGGGTGTGGGAGTCTCTGGGTTTGGCATAGCTGATGTTAGGGTGTCGGCTGTATGCTTAGAGGGAGTTTAGGGTTTTGGGGTTTTAGGGCTTCTGGAAACCCTCCAAGCTACTTAAAGTCAATGTCGACAGAGGTCTAAGCCCAGAACCCGAAAGCCTAAACCCGCGTTGGGGACCCGAAAGAGGGCACACGTGTGGCACATCCAGTAGCTCCACACTGCGGATCTCGACATTTGCATCCTCTGCCAGAGAGTGAGAAAACCTGCGGGCAGTTTATAGGATGTGAGGGCTGGAGAGCTTAGTTCCAGTCTCTATTCCAAATTCACAATAAGAGGGTTGCGGACATTTGCTGGGGTTAAACTCCGATGACTCCGGTGGAGCTCGGGCTGCGGTGGATCTCAGTTGACTGCCGCAGTATAGCGCTTAGCGATAATTTATGGAGTTTAGTGGTTCAGGGCGCAGCGTTTCTAGGGTCACGGTTTCGGGTTTGGGTTGCGGCTTGAAGCATCATCAGGACACGTGCTACTTCGGCAATCGCTGGGGTTCCGGAAGAAATCCGAAGCAGCCGCGCCTTGAAAACGTGTCACTGCCCGCATCCGTCAAGTCCTACATGAAGCAAGAGTTGGGGGAGCTTGTGTTTGTCGCGCGACGGTTCCGTGCGTGATGCATCAGATTTAACTTACAAGACATACTTCGCAGGCTCAAGGCCGTCCTGAAGCCTATTTCAGAAATACACGATCTTGAGTTAAGTTTTGTCGGCATCTGCTTTCGTGGCGAAACCCTTTGCAGGAAAACACTTTGCATGTCATACCTCAGTGGACCACTACACCTGATGCGGTGCCATGACAGTTCTCTGGCAGTTTAATGGAGCTCGATCCGAAAATCCCGTGCCGGCACTCAACGGTGTTTCTGGTGGCGAGTGTTTTGGCACGGAAATCGGTTACCTTTCGGCCCTTCCGCCTGTGAATAGGAAGTCGCTGGTATCTTACAATCTGTTGAAAAAATTGGATGTTGATTGAAGGAAAGCTGTGGCTAGCCGTTACATGGACCAAACACATCCTGAAGCCTGCATTAACAGCAAATCAACTTGATTGAATCGCGATGTTGAAGAAGAGGATGTGGTGCGAAGAACAAGACAACACGTCATCACAAGCGCCGCGTGACTATGCGATACAAGCTGCTGTCTAGGATGTTCGAAGATCAGTTCTGGCATCCCAGAGACTGTGGTAGAGGCTTGACTCAAAGGACTGCCTCAGGAAAGTGGCAAGGTGCAGCAACCGTTCATTAGAACACAATGGAGCATTCGGACGTCAAAGCTGGATGGTTTGGGTTTCCGACTCGCACTGCAGTAGCTTCTAAATTCGCTCAAAGCTTACCACGACACGAGACCCAAAACAGTTAAACCCAAAGCCACCCGGGACCATGTGCCAACAAAAACAAACCGACAACCCTTTTCGCCCTATGCCACAATCCGAAACCGAAAACTCACATCCCGGAATCCGAAGCCCTACCGATCCCCTATAAGGATCCATGTACCTGTATAGTACATACTTGCGTTACTTAGGCCTCCAGGTTTAGGGTTTACGGCTTACGGTCCATGTGCCCAGCAAATCAGCGAAGTTGATGCCTGGCCTTCAATCCTCACAGCTTTAGCCCGATGTTTTGTTGGGTTGACATATGGATACTTCTCTAAATTAGGGTCCCTTTTGGGGTCCTTTTTATAAGGGTGCCGTACTATATTGGGGACCTAAAAAGGGACCCTAATCTAGAGAAGTACCCATATCACAAACTTCCATATGGCCATGTAGCATATACTGCGGCCTTAACGAAACCATTCTATAGGGTCAAAAGCCCGCGTACCCATGGATTGGGCGTCGTAATATCTAGAAGAAGACTTTGCGGCATCTTAGAGTATAGTTCTGAGGCAATTTTGTTGCGGACTGGTCAGATTGCGGACTGGTCAGACCTCGATAACCTGAGGCGCCATGTACCTATATAGTGTATACTTTTGGCCTTCAAGGGGTTCCTACATAGGTACCTGAAGGCCTAAATAATATCTACGTACAAGGATCCCAGAGGGTCCATATACTACCATTATGGAATTAGGTCCCAAAAGACCATTCATATTAGAGTTTTGGGGGCCTGATTCCATAATGGTAGTATATATGGACCCTTAGGGGATGCGGCGAGTCTGGAGTTTCTTGATTTTCAGGGCTTAGGTTTGAGTCGTAAGGGATGGGGGTGAAGGCTGTGTGGGGCTGTCCGTCGGAGGGCGAGGAGCTTTTCTCTGGTAAGAAAAGGGTTTGGGGTTCAGGGTCCAGCGTTACAGTTTCGGAGTGTATGGGGGCATGGAAAAGCTTCTGGAGACGCTCTAGTGCCTATATATAGTCCCCGAGTGTCTGAGAGAGCTGCGGAGCCTCCCCACCGAACACCGGAAAACCCAACACCTGCAATGAGAACTGTCTAAAGCTCTGCATGCAAAAAAGGCAAATACACCACCAGAAAATCCTTAATGATGGGAATACTGCTTTAGAGTACTTTGTCGTCAAGCAACATGCATATCTTCGGGACGCTAAAGGGATACCATCAGAAACTATTCCGACCCTAAACCCTAAACCGTCCCTTACATTATGCACCCCACCAAAGCCACCCGCAAGTTTGCTGAAGCTCCTCTGAGTCACATGATAACAGCAGGCTAAGGGTTTAGGGTTTAAGGGTTCAGGGTCTAGGGTATGAGCACGAGACTGAGAACCCGAACCCGCACTGAGCAAACAGGGCTTAGGGTTAAAACCTACAAGCCCTAAGGCCAAACCTAATCTGCAGCTACCTGGACCCTAGAATGTAATCATAAATTACCCTTTTCTTGGTAGCCTACTTTCTGGTTAGGATCCTGGAAAGGTAACACCCGAACCAGGTAATGTGAGGGCCTATAGGTAAACCCTGAAATGCAAAATCTTGTAAACCTTAAACCCTAAACCCTAAACCCTAAACCCAAGTGCCAAGGAGAGCTGGAAGCCCGAAGAAACGAAAGCTCAAAGGCCTGAATTCCTAAGCCATAAATCGACAGAACCTTACACAGCCCTTTAGGGCTTTGAGGGTTTAGGGTTTAGGGTTTAGGGTTTAGGGTTTAGGGTTTAGGGTTTAGGGTTCGGGGTGTAGGGCTTGCAGAATAAAGCCTCGAAAACCATCGAACAAATCCTCAAGAAGCTCTGAGAGGAACCCTTCAAGGAACACTTTAAAAGAAACCTTACCTGGGAGGAACCCTTAAAGTCTTAAAGCAGCCCCCAAAGGAACCCGCAAAGGAACCCTTCAAGAAGCATGAACCAAAGAAGCCCTCAGAGACACGCTTTTAGGAATCCTTCTCAAGGAAGCCTAAACCCTAAACCCTAAACCCTACACCCTAAATCCTTGAAGGAAGCTACTAAAGAGGCCTAAGAGATCCGTAAAACAAAAACCTTCAAAGGAACCCTTGCCTGCACCTTAAACCCTAAACCCTATAACCCTCAACCCTCAACCCTAAACCCTAAACCCTATAACCCTCAACCCTAAAACCTTAGACCCTAAACCCTAAACCCTCAACCTTCAACCCTGAACCCTATACCCTCAACCCTGAACCCTAAACCTTATGAACTTAGGCCTCCTGAACCGAAATCCTGACCGAAACCCTGAACTCAAGGAACCCTTAGTGAAGCCCTCAAACTTTAGGGTTTAGGATTTAGGGTCTAGGGTTTAGGGTGTAGGGTGCGGGGTTTAGGGTCTAGGGTTTAGGGTCTAGGGTCTAGGGTTTAGGGTCTAGGGTCTAGGGTTTAGGGTTTAGGGTCGAGGGTTACTAAAGCCTGAATTCAAACCCTTTGAAGGAACCCTGACCAGAAGATTCCAAGTAAGGCGCTCGGGTGCAGGATCGTAGCTACGCAGGCTTGTATTTGGGAGTTTGGGAGCGTATATGATCATTACAAGGTACCCGGACCCCCTAAACTCAAACCCTAAGCCCCAAACACCAGACTCCAAACCCAAAGCCAAAAACCCCAGACCCCATAGCCTAAACCCAACCCCTAAACCTAAACCCTAAACCCCTACAAAACCCCTAAACCCAATGCCCTAAACACCTAAAGCCCTAAACCCAAAGCCCCTAAACCCTAAACCCTAAACCCTAAAGCCTAAACCGCGCCCTAAAGGAGCCTTATAGAACCCTTATAGAACCCCTTTAGAGCCCTTATAGAACCCCTTTGGAGCCCTTATAGAACCCTTTGTAAAGCCCTAAACCGCGCCCTAAAGAAGCCCCGAGGGGCTCCATCACTTTCTGCAGCAGTGGCTTCACGGCGCCAGTCACGAGAATCCTTAGAGCTCTGGGGGTTTAAAGGTTTAGGGGTTTAGGGTGTCAAGGTTTAGGGTTTAGGGCTTAAAGGTTTAGGGTTTAAAAGTTTAGGGTTTAGGGCTGAGGTGTTTTGGGTTTAAAGGTTTAGGGTTTAGGGTTTAGGGAGTTTAGGGGGTTTAGGGTTTAGGGGTTTAGGGGTTTAGGGAGTTTGCGGCTTAGGGAGTTTAGGGTTCAGGGGTTAGGGAGTTTGGGGTTTAGGGTTTAGGAAGTTTAGGGAATTTAGGGTTTAGGGTTTAGGGTTTAGGGTTTCGGGAGTTTAGGGAGTTTAGGGAGTTTAGGGAGTTTGGGGTTTAGGGTTTCGGGAGTTTGGGGTTTAGGGTTTAGGGTTTAGGGTTTAGGGGAGGTCTGAACACTTTTTTCCTTCAGGGATGAGGTTCGGGTTTAGGAATTAGGATAGCAGCCATGTCGGTTGCTACTTGGGAGAGTGTATGATTGTTCTGCACTTGGACCGTTACCATTTGGAGCCGCAGGGCAAAGCAGAGAGCGCGGTCGGGCAGCATCACACGAAGCGAAACTGAAAACTGAAAACGCCCAACGCATGCATCATGTAGCGGAGCCCTTTACTGATTGGAAAGACTGGACCGCTGTCAAAATTTCTATGGCACTCTGATCACTATGGAGTCACAATGGAGTCTTTCAGCCTCCAAGCCCTCTAAGCTACGCTGCTCGACTGCTCGACGGGCGGGTCGTAATCATGCCGTCCTTGATGAAGATATCCATGTCCTGATCGAAAACGATTTTCCTCAAGACCGGCTCGGGCTAGGGCTGCAAGCCATCTAAAGGTGCCTCCGAAGTAACTGCCTCAGCTTCAGCCTCTGCGTGGAGGACAGCTGAAGCTGGACGATCTGGAGTGCTTGACTTACTGGACTGCGGCTTGGCGAAGAAGCCCTTCTGCAGACCAGCACACCCGATCTTTGGAGTCTACATAGAAGAGTACGGCAGAACCCCAACCTCTACCTGGGCCTTGAACAACCTAACTGCTTAAGGATCCTTATCAGAATTTCAATATATCATTTCCATATCCCGAAACCCTACGCCCTAAGCCCTCAGCCCTAAAACGTTAGGACTTGGGGGGCTACAGTAAACCTTAAGCCATAAACACTGAATCCGTGGAACCTGAACCTTCCACCGTTGATCAGATATCCCAAGCCCTACTTGACCCCTAGAGAGCTTCCTGTTTAGGGGTTTAGGATTTGAGGGTTTAGGGATCCTTACTACGATATCCTTATACATGTCCTGAAAGAGCTAGAATTTCGGAGTTGACCCTAAACCCTAAACCCTAAAGGTAAAGCCTGAGCCATGACACTTAGGATTGGGTTTAGGGGTGGATCAGGGCTTCAGGGGGTTCGGGCCTGCAACTAAACCCTAAACCCTAAACCCTAAACCCAAAAACCCTAAACCCTAAACCCAAAAACCCTAAACTCTAAACCCTAAACCAAAAACACTGAACCCTAAACCCAAAACCTTAAAGATTAAAAAGGCATGGGAAAAATATGCCTGGGGCTTAGGACGCACAGCTACCTCCCCGACCTTCCAATACCCCCAAACTGGGGAATGGGGTGGTTTAGGGTTTAAGGTTTTTTAGGGTTTAGGGTTTAGGGTTCTTTAGGGTTCTTTAGGGTTCTTTGAGTTTTTTGGGGTTTTTTAGGGTTTAGGGTTTAGACCTTAAAATGATATTAGGGATCCTATAGTCGATTTTGATCCTTAGTTCTATAAAGGATACTCTTATCCCTAAAGTGTACTCCTTCAGCTACTAAGCATGTAGATTCCTCAATCATGGGATAATTTGTAAGGGCTGGTCTCCTCCTACCCTAAGGCTCCAGGTAATGTAGGGGCCTTAGGTTTAGGGTTTAGGGGTTTAGGGTTTAGCGTTGACAATAGGGTCTTTGCGGCCCATGATACTATGAATATAATAAGAAGCCTTCCCGAATATTAGTGGCACTTGCTTTAGGCGTCTATGGTATCTCCTTAGGAGGGTCCAAAATGCCCTTGGGTCTCTTTTGGGGTCTCAGAAATCCTACTTATTGAAGTACCCAAAAGTGTTCGGACCCCGCTTGTCTTGGAGTAACCCTCAACCCCCGAACCCGAAACCCTAAACCCCTAAAGCCCCGAAGCCCTAAACCCTAAACCCTAAACCCTAACACTAAACCCTAAACCCTAAGCCCTAAACCCTAAAGCCCCTAGACCCTAGACTCTAGATCCCCCTAAACCCAAACCCCTAAAGCCCTATAAACCCTAAACCCTAAACCCCTACACCCTAAACCACTTACCTAGTTGCTGAGTTCATAAGCCCAGAAAAGTGTACACTTTCAGTTTTATAGTAGGTAATATTCTCCCAAAAAAGTGTAAAGTGTATCCACTCAGCTACTGAGATTAGGTCTGGGCTGGGCTCCTATTAACCGACCAGCTGCTCGTAGTCTACGCGCAACGTCCGCACTGCAGCCGCAAGACGTCGACCGCCCAACTGGACAACCTCAAAGCATCGAATGTCCCGCATTTTGAGTTTTTTTTGGGTTTCAGGGTTCAAGCGCTTTGGTTCGAGCTTTCGAGTTTTGGGCTTTAGGGTTGAGGTTTAGGGTTTAGGATTTAGGGTTTAGGGTTTAGGGCTTACGGTTTACGGTTTAGGGTTACCCCAAAACTCGAAACCCTGTAATTACCCGGGACCCTTCAGCTCCAAAAAGCTCAAGGTGGAACTCTCGAGACTCTAAATCCGCGCTTCAGAGCTAACTCTGCAGAACTTCTCTAACCCCAACTGGGTTGTAGTTTGGGGCCCTGAAAAGTATTTATGTATACGTACCTCTATAGAAACCTTATAGGGTAATGTTTATAAAGTTTCCCAAACTGCCACCTAGCTAAACCCTAAACTAAATCCTAAACCCTAAACCCTAAATCCTAAATCCTAAGCCCTAAATTCTAAATCCTGAATTGCTCCTGTCCACAGTCCTAGAGCAGGGCTAACCTTAGGGTTTGGGGTTTCGGGATCAAGAACTAGATAAGGGTTCCTTAAAAGGTTCTGCAAGAGGGCGACTGTGAGGCGAAGTCTAGGGGCTTGCGGTTTCGAAGGGTATGCTATTCTACTATAGTACTAGCAGGACTAGGAATCATTCCAACCTTTTGCAACCCTTGGGCGCCCACACCAAGGGTAGCCCAAACCTTAGTATCTCTGTATCTTTGGACATCCCCGCGCCAGGATGGAAATTCAGCCCACCAAGACCCACTCGCCACCCTCTAGCATTAACGTGTGGACCCTACCCTAAACCCTAAACCCTAAACCTCTAAACCCTAAGCCCCAAACCCGAAAAACTCAACTCCTAGCCTAGACGCTAATCTTGAGCCCCGAGCCCACAACCGAAACCGCGTAAATCCGAAAGCCCTGCAAGCAACAACTTCCTCCTTCAACGACGACGACTACTACTACTACTACTACTACTACCACCACTACTACTACTACTCCTGCTGCTGCTACTACTGCTACTACTACTACTACTACTACTACTACTACTACTACTACTGCGGCTACTACTAACCCTCCACCCTAAACCCTCAACTCTCAACCCTTAACCCTTTAACCCTCAACCCTTAACCCTTTAACCCTTAACCCTCAACCCTTAACCCTTAACCCTCAACCCTGAACCCTAAACCCTCAACCCTGAACCCCATACACCTAAACATCAACCTAATTCACTACTACGAATTCCCTTCTTGCAGGCCCAGAGGCGACATTCCTCAAATGGCTCTGAGGCACCTCCGAGGGCTTAGAGTTTAGGGTTTAGGGCTTTGGGGTTTAGGGTTCAGGGGTTTAGGGTTTAGGGCTTAGGGTTTAGAGTTTAGGGGCCCCAAAGTGCAGAACAATTTGGTGAACGGCTTGTTTAATGGGAGTTTATGATGATTAGGGTTTCGGGTTTAGGGTTTATGCCGTCTTAAAACCTATAGGCCATAGAACCTAAGCCTCTACGCACTTAACCCGAAATTCAACGCCCAAAACCCTGAACCCAAAGCCCTACAACCCTAGACCCTAAAACCCCGGTAAGGTCTTACTCACACCCTAGGGGTCCGCGTACCCATATATTATATACTTTGACAGTGAATTAGCCCTTATACAAGTACGTTAAGGCATTCAAAGTATATACTATTTGGGCACATGACCATGAAACCCTCAACCCTAAACCCTAAACCCTAAACCCTAAAATCCTAAACCCTAAAACCCTCAATCCTCACGGTAGCTTCAGGGGAATCCTCAAAGGAACCCTGAAAGAGGCACATGGGCCCTTAGCGACGGGGGCTCTGAATGAAGCGCCTGCAAGGCCTCCGCCAGGGAGGTGACCACATGAGATTGCATCTCAGCTTCCGATTGTAGCCTCGGTCGCCCTAGATCCTGAACCGCCCTAGACCCTGAACCCTAAACCCGCCCTAGACCCTAAACCAACCCGCCCAAGACCCTAAACTCCAAACCGTTCGGTCTCCTTGAGGGGTCCCTTAAAGGTTCCGCTAAGGGCTTCTATAAGGGTTCCTTGAAGGGATTCCCTCCAGGTTCCTTTCAGGGGTTCCTTTAAAGGCCTCCTTGTTGAGGGTGTAGGGTTTAGGGTTTAGGGTTTTATGGTTTAGGGGTTTATAGGGTTTACGAGTTCAGGGGTTTAGGGTTTAGAATTGAGGGGTTTAGGGTTTAGGGGTTTAAGGTCTATTACAGCATTTTTGGAGGGACCTCCATGCCCTCAACCCTATAAACCCCAATCGTGCACTAGAAAGGGAATGTGCTATTTGTATTTAGTCTGACCTTTACTTGGCTGACTTCTGAACCCCTCCTCAAAGTTAAACTTTTAGCCTCCTTATTGCAATACATATAGAAACCAACAAAGTTAAAGTCCTAAGAGCCAACCAGAAGAACGCCAAGTTTATCTTGTGCTTCAACTTAAGCTCCATAGGTCTGGGGGTCTGGGTTGGCAGTCTCAGCACCATCAGGGCATCGGCTTTAAGGCTTTAGGGTTTTAGGGCTTAGGGCTGTAGGGTTTAGGGGTTTAGGGTTTAGGGTTTAGGGTTTAAGGCTTTAGGGTTTTAGGGCTTAGGGCTGTGGGGTTGTGGGGTTCAAGGTTTGAGGTTTTGTTGACCTCAGAACTGTACTGCTAACGTACTTGGGCCCTCTAGGCCACTTTTAGGCTCCAAAAAAGGCACATGAACAACAACTAGGATAGGGATATCCCATCTACCCCGCCCTATCATGAGGCCCGGTAAGGCAGGTATATCGCGCAACATGCTTGTGCTAATGTGCTTTTTGGGCCCCCTTGGCCACTTTGCTGGCATGCGGCACATCACCGGCCAACGTCAGCCTCTCATCTTACACATGCCCAGAGACTCCAAAACCCCTTTAATTAAGGCATTTACCTTAAATCATATTACGGATCCATATTATAATTTAAGGTATATTCCTTACTTCAGGGGTTTTGGAGTCTCTGGGTGCTTAGGGCTAGTTTAGGACTCCGGGTTGAGGAGGACTATCTAAATCTCCCGAACACCATTTTGATGTCTTAGAACGATCCCTAAGCATGCTTCGGGGGCTACTGCTAGCGTTTACAGTAGAAGCCAGAACCCTAAACCCTAAACCCTAAACCCTAAACCCTAAACCCTAAACCCAAAACCCTAAACCCTAAACCCTAAACCCTAAACCGTCATGCCCCAAAGGTAAAGTAGAAGGACTCCCAGCACTAATTATTTCAAATCCGTGTTAGGGTTTAGGGTTTAGGGTTTAGGGTTTAGGGTTTAGGGTTTAGGGTTTAGGGTTTAGGGTTTAGGGTTTAGGGTTTAGGGTTTAGGGTTTCCAACTTTCCAGGGTTCACTATAATCCTCACTAACCTCAAACCCTAAGCCCGAAACCCTGCCTAACCCCCCCAAAGAAGGTTCTGTAGGGTTCAGAATGCGTCGCAGAAAAAAGGTTCAATCACAGGGTTCGAGATTCAGATCGGCGATGCACCCAAGACCTTCTACTAGGGTTTAGGGGTTTTCGGTTTAGGCTTGAGGGTTTGGAGGTTTAGGTTTAGGGTTTTGGCTTTACCTTAAACCATATTAGGGGTCCTTCTCTGGTTTACGGCATTCCTTGATTGCGAGATAGAGGAAGGTCTGCATGTAAGAGCCTGCGAACCGCGTAACCCTAAACCCTAAACCCCACACTTTAACTTTGACAATTGCAACTCCACCTAGACCTCAACCTTAAGGTGCCTAGAATGACTGTCAGCACTAAGCCTTAGCCCTAAACCCTAGACCCCAAACTCTAAACCCTGAACCCTAAAGAGTAGAGCTGATCTTATGGGTCCATGGACCCAGAAGGGTGCCTTTCAGTGTTACCTTAATGGTACTATGAGGATTCCCTTACATTAAGCACGAAATGAACCCGAAAAGGGTTTAAGGTTCATATGCCATATAGGAATTCATAGTATAAGGATATAGGGCCTCTACTTTTAAGGGTCATTTCGTCCTTAAGGGTACCATAGGGTTTGGGGCTTTGGGTTTCAGGGTACAAAGGCCCAACTGGTGTATACTTTGGCCCTAGAAGTACCTGTTGTAGGCACTACTTTCAGGCCGAGCTAAACCCTAAACCCTAAACCCTGAACCCTAAACCTGAAAATAAACTATTTAGGCACATGGACCCTCACCGTGGACTTCTACAACTTTTGATTTGAGCTTTGGGGCGCAGGGCTGGAGAGTGTAGGTTTTAAGGCATAAGTGGGAAAAGGGTTCCCAGAGACTCCAAAACCCCTCAATTAAGGAATATACCTTAAATCATATTAGGGATCCCATTATAGTTTAAGGTATATTCCTTAACTAAGGGGTTTTGGAGTCTCTGGGTTTCGGTGTAGATTGTAGAATACTGGATCAGGGTCCTTTCTGGTCTTGGGTTTAGGGTTTAGGGCAAACAGTGCAAACAGCCTCGGACCATGCTGAAGCACCTAATTACTCTAAACGAACCGAAATCTCAACCTCAGTCATGTAGGGGCCTTAATCATTACCACAGGGTTTTGGGGCAGGTTAGCGTATATTACGTATAAGTATAATAAGGACCCCGAAGGACCCTAGCGAACAGTATCCTTTAGAATAAAATTGGACTTGATTGAGGTTCTAAACCCGAAACCCTAAACTAAAACCCAAAAAGTTGGAAACCCGATTAAGGACAATGAGTGCTGCAATTCCCTTTTCATTACTCTCTTAAGGATTGAGGCTATTGGGTTTCCAACCTTTGGGCTTCTACTGTAGATTGCTGCACTAAACAAACCGGAAGCTCAGTCTCGGTAGCCACACGGGACGGACAGGTTGCGAAAACCTCTGCTTTTGCTGCTTCTACTTGTTTAGCACTTAGTTGCTGAGTTCATAAGCCACCAAAAGTGTACACTCTGAATTCTATGAGGGATTGTCGGACAATATTTTCCCAGAAAGTGTAAAGTGTAAGACCGTCCTGACGACATTATGCAACCATCCTTAAGGACGAAATGACCCTTAAAACTGGGGCCCCTATACCCTTATACTATGAATCCCTATATGGTTTATGAACCCTAAACCCTTTTAGGGTTCATTTCGTCCTGAAGGATTGCAGCAGTGTATAGCCGTGTAGGTTCTCAGAAAGACCCTGCAAACCTACCCGAAAGTCTTATAGGAACAGTCTCTCGCTCAGCGACGAAATCCACAACTGTTATAGGGTTTAGGGTTTAAGGTTTAGGTTTTTAGGGTTTAGGGTTCAGGGTTGACCCCTCCGGCAGCCCAATAGCCCTAAAGCCACCCGTTCCAAAAGATCTCAAAAACATCTGGCAAGCCTGCAGGACGCTTGGAGCAGGGACGTTGTCGTGGAAGCCTCTTCGGTGGTGCTCTCCGCGGCCTCCACCAAGGCTTTTGCGACCCTCGATCCCTGAAACAAAGCAAAATCGCGACAATGATGCCCTAAACCTCAAACCCTAAACCCTAAACCCTAAACCCTAAACCCTAAACTCTAAACCCACAAACTAAACCAAGGAATTGGGGATTCGAGATGTCGGTTCGGGACTCCTTGGCTTCAGAGTTTGGGTTCAGGATCTCGGGTTCAGGTTTAGGGTTTAGGGTTTAGGGTTTAGGGTTTAGGGTTTAGGGTTTAGGGTTTAGGGTTTAGGGTTTAGGGTTTAGGGTTTAGGGTTTAGGGTTTCAGGATACCGGGTTCAGGGAGTTGGGATTGAAAGTTTGGGCGCCCATAGACTGGCCCGATCAAATTAGTGTGCGTCCACCTACTCAAACAGTGTACACTTGGACCCAAGAGGCAGACAGGAAGTCCTGTCATGCTGATTGGATTCCAGATCTGATTGAACTTAAATCGCGGGAGCTTCGCTCGTGTCTTGCGATGAATATGTGGTGAAACCCTGTTGTCGAACAGGGCCTCTCCGGAAACCCTAACCCGTAAATCGCGGTAAATCCTAAACCCTGAGTCCTAACCCAATCACGCCAAACCTACGAAAACGTTTTCGCTGGTCACTGAATCCCTGAACTCGAAACCCTGCCACGAACCAAGGACAACTGATAGTCGTAATGATCGAAGCAATAACCACCACCATTAACACCCAACACAACAAAGACATGTTGATGCAATCCCTGAGCTCAAGCTCTGCTCCCACGGCTATCATCAGCCTGCAGTAGCAGCAGCAGTGGCACTGGCCCCAGCACTAGCACTAGCACAAGCAGCAGCGGCAGTGTCAGCGGCGGCAGTGGCACTGGCAGTAGCAGCAATAACAATAGCAACACAGGCGCCCTGGCAATGTCAATAACGAACATAGCAGTACTATATACGACCACTAGGGGTGGCAATGGAAACAACAATACAAAAGCGGCCTCGGTGGTAGTCGGAGGACGAGTGCGTGCCGGCTCGACATAGAAGCTGGTCGTAGCCAGAGTCGATCCCTGCAAAGAGTATGGTAAAATATACAGTATCATACAGTATCAGATATTCTTTTGCATATATATATATAGTATAATATACACAGTAAAATGAATAATAAAATATATACTGACCCGCAGGCATCTGCTTGCAGGTCGCTGGGGATTTGGGCTTTCGGGCATGGGCCAATGGGCGTAACAGTTACCCTACAGTAAGTCTCAAAATCGCAATTGCCTTATAGTAAGCCCCAAAAAGTTGGAAACCGGATTACGGACAATCAGTGCTGGGATTCCCTGTATATCACTCTTGACGATGGAGGCTGTTGGGTTTCCGACTGTTGGGCTTCTACTGCACGTAGTCTGGTCTTTTGAATCGCGACCCCCTGAAATATGAGTATTCATCCCTATAAGGCTTCATGTATCTATATTGTTCAAGTACAACGAGCCTTGCTAAACCCTCAACCCGAAACCCTAAACATTGTCTTGCGACAGAGTTGAGAGCTTCAGTATGAAGGCGGAAAGCTTTGAGATGCTCCAATATCCCCGATCTAAGCAATATACTTTAACAAATAGTGGGAGCCAGAATATATGATTGTTTACTGTAATATAAGAACCTATAAACTTACCAACATTATTTTGGGGGTTCCTCCTGATTAAAAAATATAGTGCAATCTAATTATTCAAGCCCCTATATTACATTCCTCAACCCTAAACCCTATAGCCTAAACCCTAAGGCCCCTATATTACATTCCTCAATCCAGGAATATTACCCAAAGGGTCCATATATACTACCATTATGGAATTAGGTCCCAAAAGACCATGCATATTAGGTTTTTGGGTGCCTGATTCCATAATGGTAGTATATATGGACCCTTAGGGTTAGAAGGTCTTTGTGGCGAAACCAAGCGCCTGAATTCCAACCCTCGACTCCTTCGACTCTACAAGCCAGGCTTTGTCCCTAAAGCATCCTGGACCCTGGGAGTTAGGGCTTAGGGTTTAGGATTTAAGGCTTAGGGTTGGTGTTTAGGGTTGGGTTTAGGGGTTAGGGTTGGTGTTTAGGGTTGGGATTTAGGGTTTAGGGTTGGGGTCTAGGGTTTAGGGTTTAGGGTTGGGGTTTAGGGTTTAGGGTTTGGTGTTTAGGGTTTAGGGTCTAGGGTCGGGGTTTAGGGTTTAGGGTTTAGAGTTGGGGTTTAGTGTTTAGGGTTACCTTTTTGGGCATAGCCTGTCTTGGTGGTTGAGATCGTACAGTGGACCACAGAAGCAACAACGCCACAATCCAGGGCCTAGGTATGTCCTGGACTTCTCCAAAAACCTTTTGTTGGAAAAGGGAGACCACCTCTTGCAAGCTGGCGGTCGCAGTGGAAGCAGAGCTGGCAGAGTTGGTTGCGCTGATAGCAGTGCCTGCGAAGCTTGGTTCAGGCTTTGAACGTGTGGGGAAACGCTAAACCCTTAAACCCTACACCCTAAACCCTAAACCTCAGGGCTTAGTGGGTTTGGGTTAAAGGCCTCAGGGTGTTTGGGCTTGAGCCGCCTAGCAGCTTTTGTCAGAAGTTCAAAACCGCCGCTTTTTGCGAACCAGGCCACTTGTAGACGATGTCTCCAGTGCGTCGCTCGAGGTTGGTTGGGTCATCTCTGATGTTGGCGGTGCAGTGGTGGTGGTCGTTCCATCTGTTGTAGATGTCGCAAGGCTTGCCGGCAAGGTAGAGGTGGTGCTGGGGGGCGCGTCATCAACAGGGATCGCATCGATGGGTTCAGCATAGCTGATGTTACTAGTGGCGGTTGTCATGGTCAACGCGCTTGTCGTGGTAGTCGAGCTGGCGTCGACAGCATAGGAGCTTGTAGCAGTGGTGGTGGTCGTTGTAGTGGTGGTAGTTGCGGTGGTCGCTCCGGTTGTGGTCGTGGAAGTTGTGGTAGTTGTAGTGGTGGTGGTGGTGGTGGTGGCTGTCGTGGTGGTGCTGGTGGATGTGGTGCCGGCTGTTGTGGTGGTCGTGGTCGTGGTGGTTGTGGTAGTTGTGGTGGTCGTTGTCGAAGTGGTGGTGGTGGTGCTGGTGGGAGTCGAGGTGGTGGTAGACGTAGTCGTAGTCGTAGTCGTAGTCATAGTCGTAGTCGTAGTCGTAGTCGTAGTCGTAGTCGTAGTCGTAGTCGTAGTGGTGGTCGTAGTGGTGCTGGTGGTTGTTGTGGTGGTGGTGGTGGTCGTGGTGGTGGTAGTGGTTGTGGTGGTAGTGGTTGTGGTGGTGGCGGCGGTCGTTGTCGTCGTCGCGCGTGCTGTCGTTGTAGTCGAGCTGGTACTGGTCGTTGCCGTGTACCAGCCTATGAGGTGCGACAACACGCAACACATGCCTACGTCAGTACTGAACAGTGCCAGACAATGACACAACAGCCAGTCAATGTCTGGTCTTTCAGATCTTAAATTTGAAACCCTTTTCCTCCAGCTGGCTGTTTACATATTTTTACGAACCTTTAGGAAGGAACACTAGGTAAGGAGACTCTTCCCAAGCTGGCCACCCTAAACCCTGAACCGGCAGGTTTTGAATTCGCAAAGGTGCGGCCAACCGTTTTGTTTTTGGCAAAAGTGCAGCCAAGTCGTTTCCTTGGTTTTGCCTCGGGAAAACCTTATTTTCCTTATATCTTGGACGGATTTCGTGCCATTCCCCTTAGGTTGACGGAAAACGTACGTTACCTTGGACGTTCCGAAGACAAGACGCTTTTCCTTACATTTTGGCTGTTGCTGTTGCTGTTGCTGTTGCTGTTGCTGTTGCTGTTGCTGTTGCTGTTGCTGTTGCTGTTGTTGTTGTTGTGGTTGTGTTGCTGTTGTTGTGGCTGTTGTTGTTGTTGCTGCTGCTGTTGCTGTTGCTGTTGCTGTTGCTCCTGCT